GTGCCAGCTACTCCAGGGGCCAAGGCAGGAGAATCACTCAAGGAGTTTGATGTTACAGTGAGCTATAATGGCGCCTCTGCACTCTAGCCCAGGCAGTGAGTGAGACACTGCCCCCCTCCAAAAAAAACCAAGAGACTGACATTTGGATGAGAGTTGCACACAATACTTTTTCCTTCTACTTTTTGCATTTTCTCATTTTTATTGGCAATGAAGTATTTCAATCATGAGGGAAAACATCCAAATGGACAATTTTGTGAAGATACAAATGAGCTAAGAACCTGTTCCCCTTGCTTTTTCTTTTTTTCTCCCAGTCAGGGTATCCAGCTGCCTGTGAGGATATGCCCCAGTTAGGAAAACAGACTTCATTTTCTGTATTAATATTAAGTGGAGTCCATAGAAACTAAAAGCAGCCCCCATAAAGCTATCGTTGGCCCCGTCTGGGTAGGTGTGAGGAGCTCACCTCCTTGTCTCTCAGCCTTGGAATCTTGCAACCTGAGGACAGAAAGACCGTAGGCAACATTGCCCTCCTGGGGAATGCTGATAGCGTCAACATGGTGGAGAAGGCCAAAAGGGAGGCATTGTCCCTTTTTTGCGGAGGACAAAACTGGCTCAGAGCCAGAGATTTGCTTGAGACCACAACAGTAAGTGATGAAGCATTCTGAACCCAAATCTGTGCTTGCTCTGCTTAGAGCATCTCCTCTCATATTTTGTAGGACAAGTTCAGTGTTAAGACCACCAGGCAAAATTTAGACCAGGAGGTAAATTTTCTTAATGGAGGACCCTCCCCTCAACCCCTACAAGTCCATAGTTCAAAGCCAGGCAGCAGGGAAGACAAAAAGAAGAGTTTGCTCTCCTCTTTCTCCTTGTGAAAAGAGCAAGCAGAAAACAGCTGCTTCGTGGGCTGACACTCGGGGAGTGGGCGGCTAGAGGCTCTCATCCAAGCTGATGAGACTGGAGAATGGAATCTGAGGTGACCAACAGTGAGCAAGTAGGGAATGCCCCCGGGTGAGTGGGAGGGCGGACTGGGCTGGCAGGGAGGGAGGGAGAGCCTGGAGCACCCTGGAAAGAGCAGTCCTGGGGGCAGAGGCCTCAGATCCAGCGATGGGGCCCACAACCCGTCCAGTCCAGAAGACTCAGCCTCACTCCAGGGCTCCATCCCTCTCCCTAGGCCTGTCCACATGACTGGGTGGGACAAGGGGATGAGGAGGCCCTGGGGAGACTGCTGGAACCCCGCTCCCATGACTCATCTCCTGTGCCTCCGGCCCTGAGCTTGAATTCCAGTTCTTAGCACAAGCCAGGCACAGTGTGTGTAGGAGCCGTGGTCTGTGGTTCCCCAGCATCAGCATCAGCAGTAATCATGTCTCTCATTTGCTGCCGGGCCCTGTTCTAAGTGCTTTACCACATACGGGGCCTTGCCCACGACGATGGGAAGACAGCAGAGCCAGGCTCCCACCGTGCTCCACCTCATTTCTTCCGGAAGACCTCCATGAAAACCAGCCCCCACATTGCCAGGATTTTCCCAGCCAGTCCTGTTTTCTACCG